GTGATTTTACTCACTAGATCGTTAATGATGACCAAGAATATACGGAACCCCAGTCCTGAACCCTGTGGCAAATCGCATCCAACCTGAATTGCGTCCGATGTTAAATCACACACTCTCACATTTAGACGCCTACGCGAGAGTAATTTGTAGATGTATCCAAGGAGAGGGTCCCAATACCACATTCTTGAACTTTGACGAGAAAGATACGATGGTCCAACCGGTCGAAAGCCTTAAAGATGTCACGATATGCCACGTCGACACCCGCACCAACATCCACCGGTTCGGTTCAGCTGTCTCGTGCTAACAATAGGTTGGTGGAGCATCAACGATACTGGCAGCAGCCGTATTGCTGCTGTGAAACGGCACCAAAGGCGTCCAGATAAGCATGAGTGCGTCAGCAACGGCAGCCTCCATAACTTTTGAAAGAAATGGCAGAGGAGTCACTACTAGTCGATAATCAGCTGCGTCGGAACGGCTGCCTCCTTTGTAAATGGGAGTTATTATCCCGTATTTCCACATGGCAGGAACGTGCCCCTCGTCAAGAAAGTTCTGGAACAGCCGCGCTAAGCGTTCAGCCAAAACAATAACTGCCAAAAGAAGCGTCCGAGGGCGGAGGTTGTCAATACAGGGAGAGGCATGCAGGCATATGGATAGCATCTTTTTCATTGTGATGTCTGTCGTAAAACGTATGGGTGAGTCCTGGTGTAAGCAACACAGTTTCAAAAGGTTCAGGAGACCACGGGATGAAGTGAAACGTTTGTGCATCTTGTTATTGCAGGACATTCCATGCTTCTTTGGCGGTCCAAGTTAGACCATCCGTTGTTTGAAGAGAGGAAAATCCACTTTGCACTTTGCTAAGGGTGCGCAAATGCGTATACAGTAGCTTATGGTTGCCAGTAAATGGCTACTCAAGCATGTTGATATACTACCATGTCCTCGCGCATTAGTTTGGTGCAATGGTTACTCTGGACAACATAGGCCTTCCAGATACTCGGACTCGGATCCTTCTGTGTGCAAACCAAGATGCGTTACACATCACTATGCTGTTGCGTGTCCCACTGCGTATAAACGGCGCCATGGTTCTGGAAATGACAGTCTTGGTTTCCGATGTCCCTCTAACCAAGGTGTTAAACTCAATGAAGAAACCTTCACAGGCAATATCCAGTACACCCTCGGCTATAAAACTCCAGTCGGTCGCTTCAACGAGTCTGGTTAAGGTGTCTGAGCTCGTTACAGTCCGTGTCGTTTGAGTTCTCTTCTCAGGGTATTCAAGATAGCAGGCATAAAGTAAACGCATAGTTGCGTGGTCAATGCGGCCTAGAGGAGTATCGATTCTCATCCTCTCGATTATGAGACCTACAAGAGGGAATATCCGGTCTAATGTGATGGCTGTTTTCCCCTAAATCTAATGGGTGAAGTGACGTGATCTTAAAGCGGGAACTTTGAGACAAGGTCTTGCTTGTCTGCTTTGAATTGCTCTCCTGATGTGTTCTTGGATTCTAGAGCATGTAAGTTGAAATCTTCAGCGACTAGAATGTGATTGTACTTCCCGTTTGCCACCTGCCTCAACGCAGCCACTAACTTAAAGTCCATCTTTTTTGAAGTCAAGAATGTGCTTTACGCACCCTTGAAGGGTGACTGTTTGGCTCTCAGGTGTAGAGGATGTTGGGCGGTAAACAACAGCCTCTAAGCCAACATCGTGTCCTCTCAATCGTAAGCTGAACCAAATGGAGTCGGACACTTCGGTATCCGCATCGTGTATGGGTTCGCAGTGAAGGTTGTTACGAAATTAGAGGGATATCCCACAACATTTGCGGGTTCGATCATTCCGGACGACGGACATACCTGTTAGTACGATTTCGGCATCCGTTATCCCACTGTGCAACCATGTTTCCTCGATAGCGACGAGGTCCCAAGCTGCTGACGCGTGTCGAATTCTCAATTTAGCTTATTTGCAGAGTAGGCCTTGGGATTTTTGTACATGCAGAGAGCCTCCCTGAAACCAGAAACGTGGTGGATGTGGTAGATTATGCGAGCGAGTTTTCAAAGGGTCGGTGGCTAATCGTTTTTATACCGGTTGTAGGCTCTCGAGACGAAGTTTGGATATGTGCATATATCAGCTGTTCCGGATCCCGGTGTTGGCTCATTTTCTATTGTGTCTCTTCGAGTGTTACGACTAGTGTTGAAATCGTCACCGCATCGGAATCTACACTGATCGTTTTCATTGAGATTGGCGCGCCTGAGTGATCAACAATACGTGGTTGGGTTAGTGCTGCTTTCAGACAAATTTTTGTTAGCAACCTTCTACGGAACCTAGTTCAATTCTCTAGAAGAATTTGTGCCGTTAGTTCAGACGGTACGACCAGTTCCAGCAAATTGCGACTGCACCCCTTGTATTTAGATGCCATGGGGATCCTGATTGTGTCGTACTGAGTATCTGCCAGGGACCGTGCGCCTGTTTAGATCCCCGTAGTCACCGCAAGAGCGCCAGTCCCAGGATTTCTCTGAGACCAGCTGGAGTGATGAGGACCAAGGATATCTGAAGGACGCATTATTCCAATTTCGATAATATAATCGAACTCTGCCTTAGCTAGCTTTAGTTTCTCCGACGAAAACCGGCACTGGCGTGATGAGTCGCATGGGCTGTTAGTTCGAATATGATGCGTGACTTTCCACTCCACGGGAGAGCTACGTTTATTATCTGAACGAGCTTAGGGTAATGAGAGAAAAGTTCGGCGTATTCAGCAAAGGTCTGTGGGTCAACGTAGGCGAGAGTGATAGCTGCGATGCCGGCGTTGGTGTCAGTGATACTGAGCGTCGTTGCGGGGTAGACTATCCTCTGTTGCTTCGCATCTACCAAGAGGTCGAAATGTCTAAGGAAGTCTATGCCGATAATCGCCTGCGGAACAGCTGCAATAATGCATACCCAACAAGATGTTCTACAGAGACTTAAGTTAATGGTTAAGGAGCGTTAGCTGTTACTAGGGATGAGTTTGCCGTTGGCAGCGCTGAGTAACCATGCTTAATTCAGCCCCGATATCGATCTGAAACACAGTTCCAGCTTTGCAGTCCTGAACATAAAGGTAGCTACTGCCGAAGTTGTGGCCGGTGACATTACTGGTACGTGTTTTGTGTTTGGAAGGTTCCTCGATTGAGTTGAGAGGAAGGTGCAAGGAGTAGTACATCGCTTCTTCGGGGGGCCAAAGCAGCGGTGATACCAGCATAGTTTCTTGTGTGTTGAGCTCTTGGGCTTGGCCGATTTGCTCTTAGGTACCCGTGAGTTATCGAGTGCTAAAGGGGACACAAGAGTGCTGCCTAACGCCTCTAGTTCATTAAGTACTACGGTAAGCTCTGAGGGATTTTAAGTAGGGGCTGCATGGTACCGGAATGAAGTAGGTGGCTGCTGAAACACGTTAGGGCTATTTGGTGGATATGTAATGGGTGGTGTTGAGCAATCTACTACCATAAGAAGATGCTCTATGATCACATCCACCGTTTGCGCGGCTGGAGTGAGGGTAGAAACGTAGGCGGATATGAAGATAGCTTGGGCTATTTCGGCTAGGTGCTGCAGCCAATGTTCCGGTATACTGGAGTCATCCATTAGATACGAACCGAGGAGTCTCTTCATCTCTCCCAATAGGGCGGGTGGCCTGGAATCTTCCAGACGAAAGCCATTGAATAGCCGTTTGATTCGCGTATTGCTGGTTGTTCCATTCGGGTCATGATCTTCAGCATATGAAACTTATAACAATGATCCGTGTTTGGGCTTGAAAGAATGTCGCCGAACTGTAAAGCGAAGTAGCTAGGAAGCCTATCCAGCGTATGACAACAGTCAGATTCGTCGGAAAAATATTATGATGTATAATATCATACTCCAACAAGACAACTCAAAAATGAGAGCCATCAAATATGGTAGGGGTTCAGACAGAGATGCGACACTAATAGATGATTCACAAATGTTGGTGTATGAGTGAGCCATGGATTAGTATTTGCAAAAAGGCAATTCAGAAGAGAAAAGGAATGAGACCAACAATAATGTTTTCGGCCACAGTGGAAGCGTGCTTGCAGTCTGAGTCAGCAATTGTGGGGTGCTACTCAGATGCTAGTCGCAAGAGTTGGCAGGTAAAAGGCGTTCCGAATACGGAATTAGGGAGAAGAGTCAGATCGTCTAGACACAATGTTAGTTGACACATGGTACGAAGAATGGAGGGCGGGTAGGCAGAGAAAAACAGTGGTATGCCGCGTGACTCAAGAGGGGAGCAACTGATTGGTATGTACCATCAGTTAGATCGATAGACGAGCAGAACATATAAACAAAAATAAAAGCCGATGTCTCAAAATACTGAAACGGTGAATGATTCATGTTCACTAGAAAGCGCTCCGCTTAGTTTTCCTTTCAGTACTATGCATAACATAAGCTAGCGAACCTCAAACTTGATGTTTCAGAAGGTGCTTAGTTCTTCTTGCTTCTAAATGGAGGTCGCCCATGTAATAACACGATTTTCGTTGACAGAGAGACGGTTAATTATGGAAAGTATCATGAGCAATTTAGAAAGTCAATGTCTCGAAATCAGCTTTTGCACAAAGTTACATTTAGAACTTACTGTTTAACACCGATAGAAGCACTTAACTATATGCTACGATCCACCTATCTGCTTATTTGTCTTAAATCAACTTGGTTAATGACCTAGGTTCTTAGCAGTCTGAGAAAAAGCGGTACTGTTGCAACACTAGGGAGGACTAAATGCTGTTTTACATATCTTACGCACGTTTGATGATTTAATAACTAACCATGCTGTCTCCATCTAAACCCTAATTCATTGTGTAAAATCGCCTCATTCGGATTACTCCATACCTTATTTTGGATACGGACTGGCTAACTGTAAAATGATACTGACACCACCTGCATGCTTTTCCTAACTTGCGATAGTCTTACAACGCAAACTTCGCAGTTGAATAAAGATATATCATAAGATTGTCTTTATTCCAATTACATTTAGAGTGCCATTGTTGGACAACTGCTAAAGGATGTCTACTCTATATTTCCTCCGTGGGTGCCTTCGGATTGCTCGGTTGATCACTTTTACTTGGGACTAAATGGTCCTTCTCGGGATGCGCAATTATGTTTGTGTCCAACACGCAGTTCCGTGTCGTGCAAAATGTTCAGGCGATCTGAATATCTGAAGGAATCGTTGATTTCTTCCAAAGAATGCCGCAAAGAGTGGGTATTCTCCCACTACGAATGCGGCTCTGATGATGCGGCGCCGGTTTTACGATCAACGTTAACAAACTTGATCCGTCTCCCCAGTGTTTCGTCATCCACATCACCCACCTCCCTGGCGTATTACAACAGGAACCCAATTATAGTAGACATAGACGAAGATTTCTTCGGAGTTTACTTGGTCGCACGCAATCTGACAGATACTGGATTAAATATTATTGCCATTTTACAGCTTGACCGAACGATTCAATCAATATTCTGTCCAAAAAGGGCAGTCGACGAATCTTTCATCGACACTTGGTTCCAGGAGCTGCTGGCTTACGTAAGAGCCACATGTGCTCGAGCACTTTCGGGTATGGAGGTATTCGAGTGCCAGCGTAACATCAGCGAACGAGTGTATGACAGCTTGGTACAAATGAACCCTGCGTGGTTATGTCAAGAAGACAATGGACCATCTCTTCAAGACCTAGTGGAAACGCTAACACATCCGACGATAACAAATGAGCAACTGCTGGCACTATCACGTGTCGGACTATGCCTCACCAACGCTTGGTCTTCATATGCTTACGAACCACGCATGCGGCTGTGTATAGGGCACAATAGCCCCGGAATGACTTTGGTCAAAGAACATGTCCCCGACACGGAGGAGCTAATGTTATTGGCATCCAATCTTACCAAGGTATTGCTGGCGATCCCACAGAAGCCCGCTCTGATTACCCTGTGTAGGTCAGCTCGTGATGGTTACACGCCGCGCTGGTTGCAGCCTACCATTGAGTACACTATCACTGGCATACTCAAAAGATTATTCAACTTAACACAGGGAGATATAAGCTACTCTCCTCGTCTGGCAGGTGGAGTTAACGGCTGGCAAGATCGCAACTCCTGACCGATCGCGCTTTTATCAGTTCCTAGGTTTCTCGGGTAACCCAGCGTACATTCTTCTGTCCACACTGAGAATGAGGACCTCGCCCCAAGATTAGTGCCTGCAGTAAAAGTGGAAGCATGAACAACGACCTATAATTATTACAAGTGAAAGTAAAATATTTTTTGGGATACATGGCATTCTACCATGCTTTGATTGGTTCATTAAATGTTTGCCTCCATCCCTCCTTCTCTAGGATAGCGATAGTTGGTAGTCAATACAGATCAAGGTCTCTGCAACTATTAATACTCGCCTTGTTCTTCGAAGTATACTAGTGTTCTGACGGAAAAGGTCACCACGTTTCGTGCAGTCTCTCATGCGACATGTAGTGGGGATCAGCAGCCTGTTCACTGAGCGCATACTCCGTCTGCTTACTTTGTAGTTACTGATGGTACCCATACAAATGAATCGTCCTGTGTATTGGACTCCGTGTAACGTACTTGGATGTTTCAGATGAGCTGACGAGTGGGGTGCGAAACACATAAATCTACAGCAACGAACACTTTCAATTTACCCACCTAGTTGGAAACGTTCTGTCCAGTCGCATAGTTTCAATTGCAACTCTGTTTCATCGTCCACTTAAAAGGTAGCCCAGAAAAGTATAAAAACATTAGAAGTTTATCGTGGATAATATGAGATACTGTGTGACTCCGATGTAGTGCCTACTTCTTTTCAGAGTACACTGCGGGATATAGGTCATGCGCTGAAAAACTAGGGCCAAACGTAGCGCATAGCAAGCAGTGTGCCTACACAGCAAATATCAACCTACCTCACTAGCATTAGACGGATCACGCAATTTCTAGATGAGTAGACAGCTTTGCTCAACGCGGTTTAATGTCATAATAATCAAGGTGAATTCGAGGTGTTAGTTAGCAACTCTATTGTGCATCCACTTCTCCTGTATGGCTAAGATTAACGAAAACCGTAACCCATCCAAAGATCGATATGAACACACAAATGATTCAATGCTCTCTAGCTACCTGAATGGCATTCGCGGGAGTACTTTGTGAGCCCGGCAATATAATCAAGGTGTGTTCAGTGACATTAGCTAAACTTCAGACCACAACTACTATGGGTTATGCTTTCGTGAAATCAAGTATTTTTGCGTCTGTATAAAGCGCTGATAAAAAGTTGTGCAGTGATAACTCGAGTGGACATACATCAAGTTGAAGCATGAAGCACTTCGTGTAACCATCGCAACAATACATAAAGGTAATGTGCACATTTTAATAGGAGTCTTTGCTTAGAGTTAGTTCCAATCTCTGGAGCTGTATACAACTACAGCGCTATTTCACTTCAAAGAACAACATCAAACCCACTTTCTGATATCAGAATTGTAAATGGTTTCCCACGTACAGAATATGATTCTACCATCAGACCAATGAAGTTACGCACTGATTATCCATGCTTTTGTATGTGCTCAGCTAACCAATTGGAAGCAACATATATAAAAGGTAACACTAAAATCTAAGCAAGTGAAATGACGGATTCAGAATGCACTGGCAGTGTGCCATTCGACTGGCTTTCTTGTTGGGACAATGCGAATCTGCTTTTCTCCACACCAACTGAATCACACCTTCTAACTGAAACACAAAACTTATTTGTCCTTACGTCCAATATAATTGGTGTATGATGAGGATTCACGTAGGATTTTTGAATAAATTTCCAAACGGTACCGGGTATTGGCGTTTGTTAAGCCTCACACTGGAAAAATAACACAGTGCTTGCAATGGATCAATGGATTTATCACGAGTAAGTAAGCAAGTACTTAGCAAGTCACGCAGATAAGGTCTATAAGCAAAAAGTGAGGGTATCGAGTAAAAGCAACACCCATTGACAGACTAACCGGGATTTTCACATTATATACAAACGGGTTACGTCATGCTGTGTCCCAATAAGTTAGGTTAGATAATACAATACAGGTTGTACAATTTACCGTCAAGTCGGATATGGAATCCAGCCAACGTAGGAGCGGAGATGACAGAATGCGTAAGCACGTACCATGGCTACGATCCGTGAGTGAAGAAATAGTTTCGGTGACATTCCAATTGGCTATACTGTATGACCGAATTCAAATAGTGACCTCTCAATGTACTCTTACGGCTGAGTTTCCGTAAGTATCGGCATGGGTAGATAGGATCCTTGAGGATCCTATACGCCAATATAGGTACCCTCGCAGACGACGATATTGTCCACTGAGTATCCAAGGACTTTCAGTCTACGTTGGTAAGGAAGATGGAGGGCGTCCAGCATATTTTCGGTGTCTTTCATTGTAGTGTCCTAAGAGCAGCAAGGTCATATTGTTGTCGAGGGTGCTAACTCAGAATGACGCCGTCTACCACGTGGGCTGTTGTGAACGATCAGCCCTGACAGTTCAGTCGATAATGATTACCGAACAAAGTGATTTTCCACAAATGACTCTTATTTAGCGGAACAGAATTTCTTAGTTTCAGAAATAAGTGGGTTTTTCTTCACCGCCTGTCCAGTCTCTACCATACCTAAACATTTGGAAAGAATGAGTTGCATATCGAATAAGTAAAGAAAGTAAATACCAAAACTAAGGAGACTCACCACAATTTATACATCATACTGCTCGAAAATGGATACGAAGCTTCCGCTGAAAGGGGAAAATCCTAGCTCAGCATCTGCTCAGTCTTAAAGCATTGGTACCAACACGTGCTGCTAAATCGCTATACGGCCAAAAATAACTTCGACTACACTACTTTAAGGCTGTATACAAAAAGGAATGCTGCGACAAAGAAGCATTATGACTTTGGAACGAAGTAATTTTTAAATCCGACTTCCGATGATGAAATATCATTTGAACTAATGCTGGAATCTGAGGAGTGTTGGAAGAGGGATGTAATTGTAAGTTGTAAGGGAGAGAGGGCGAAAGACGTGAGTATCGGAATAAAGTTCTATGACGCAGTGGGGTGCAGCTTATAAAGCATGGTGGCAGACAGACTACACCATGCCGAACATCAGCAACAACGTAACGAGCGAACTGCCGCTGTAGACAAGGACCGCAGGCCCATCAGCAGTGAAAGTCCATACTGAACTACAAAAAAGCGTGTAATGGAGACTGAGGATTACCGATCTAGTCAGTGTGCATATTTATCCACAACAGCACATGTCCTACGTACTTAACAGAAGAATTTTGATTGTAGCCCAAATTTTGTTCTAATTCGAGCGTGGCTGCACGATACCATTGTAGCCTAAAGTAAGCGTCGCACATTTTCTAAAGGTTGCTCAACGGTATTGTGCTGATACAAAGGACGAAGCTTAACTTGTCCCAGCAGATGGTCGGTCCGGAGTCCCAAAAAGAAGACGAAAACTGCGGTAAGGAATGGATAGCCATTAACGGTGAACTTATCGAACAAAAGTTTATCCATTCCCATGGCTCATACATAGTCTTATTCAAGTTGCATGAAAACCGCCCTTGGTTTTCACAGGAAAATTGGTGTGAGTTGTTACGAGTTGGTGTTTGTAGGTTTGCATGGATCATGTGTGTTAAATGTCATGGTGTGGTAGGGTTAGCCCGTTGTCGACAAGATCTTTGAACGCAGTTAACGTTTCGACTAAAATAACGCGTACTTGGTGGGAATGCCATGGGTGGCAAAAAGCGGAGAAAATAAATTCCGCCTACACGCCAGACGACTGTACTGTTCTGTTATTATGAGATGTGCCCTCTCAGTATGTTGTTATGGTTGAGCATTAGTAGTTGATAGCATGAGTTATTAGGGTTTCTTAGAACTTGGTAAGCCATGGTAACCTTACCATAGCTATACCGTCCATTGAAAATTCCCAGAAACCCACCCGCTCTTCGCATGACAAGCGGCACAAGCCTTCGACGCTTCTGGTGGCCCTAATTTGTGGAATATCCAAGAGTGTACGATCCACTTGCTGTCATGTTTGCCATGCTATATCTGCATGCAACAAGTAATTGCGTATATGTGCATAAGGTGGTTGGGAGAAATTAGTTGGGTCGAGGTGACCAAATGTTATCTGAAAAGCTTCACGCTTTGGATTCCCATTAGGGGTACTATTTCGGACTGCATCATGCAACCCAGGTCTTCGTAAACAAACTCATAAAGACTTTACTAGTGCTGTAGATCCTGAGCACCCTGCATATAAATGCGAAAATTTTGGTAGTCTATTGTAGCGCTCGCCATTTACGTAGGTTGGATTGATGGGACAAAAGCGCCCAATTGCCCTTCAAAATCTGCTGGAGAAATACCTAGGTTTTGGTGTAATTTCTTGGCATATCTAGAGCAAATGATATTGTTCTTCATGAGCACTACAAGACCACTTTCACGGTGGACGCTGCAAAATGTTTTCTTCTGCCTAACATTTGTAGGCTATGTGGGCACGTATCTCGATACCTTACAATTGGTAGAGCTAAACAAGAGCATGTTTTGAGCCAAGCACTCGTAGGTACCGTCAAGATCGTCGTGCAATGCCATGTGGTCGTTCGTCGTCTTAATTTCCCCCCAAATCTTTAGGTCACTGCAGAGAGTAAAATGGTTACTGTGGTCACTCCCGCGAGATCGTTTATGAACATTAGGAATAGTCATGGTCCTAGGAATGAGCCATTTGCCGCACAACGGTGCAACTCTGTAGGGTCATAAAAACCCTACGAAGTCAATCTCTTAAGCTTGTTTGGAGTAAGAATGCATATTTTCCGTGCAACATAGGGTTCCCTCATCCCATAGATCTGATGATAAAAATTAGTGTAGTGATCTAGAACATCAGAAGTCTTCGAGAAATAAAGGTAGGAACATTAGCTATTTTCCAAGTATCGACAGTTACCGGGTACCTTGAATGGATTACAATCGGTTCGCCTAAAGCCGTGTTGCACTATATATATATATATATATATATATATATATATATATATATATATATATATAGCCTCATGGTGAGGTTGCTACTGCATTCTTGATGCTTCTTCACCGCATTTGGGTTAAAGCAACCTGCATCCAAACTAGATCTTTTAATCCGGACCAAACCATTCCTCCTTATTGGGCTTGTTCAATTCTGTTATTCTGCAGCATATCTGTGTCTATCTAACTTATTTGCTCTCCCTCAACTTCTATGTTTGTTATTTGATATGCCCGCTGTGTCTGCGCCT